ATACTACTCTGAATTATTTCGAAATGCCATAAACATTGCTATTCTATAGTCCGATGGAGATGCTATAAACGTTCTATAGTCCGATGGAGCTACGCTTATGATGAATTCGATTTCGATTTTTTCAGCATGATAATTAAGATTTTTAGTGCAGTACGTGATAATTATTGAAAATTTGTCTACATAAGAACTATCTAAAAGTAGGAAATGTCTATTCTATGACAATATAATGTTCGAACTTTCCGCGCTTTAAATGTTAGTAATCCCCGTCATAAGAGGACCATACTGTTCGCTTCAACTTCGAGTTTAAACATTTTTTAGTAGTTATAGTATTTCGGATGAATAAATAATTTATTTTCGCTTCTCTTGTAATTCTCAATAAAAAGGTGAATGTAGGATCTGACATAAGTTCAGCAGCTCTATTTCCACTAATCATGAGAATGATGAAACAAAGACTCAATCGTCTCGCTTTCCGTTTGTTTAGTCCTGTTATAGATTAATTAATCAGCTAGATCTTCAGCATTCAGGGCAACTATGCAATAATCTGCAATATCAAATTTGAACAAGAGCAAATTACAGAAAACCTGCTTGAGCGTAAATCGTCCAGCTATAAATTTAGAAACGAGTTTGTGCTATCCAGAGAAAAAATGTCTAAAATCAGGGGAAAATGAATTGTAGCCGTCTCAGACGATTCCAAATTTGGATTTCTTAAATATCTATTTGGATCCATTCATTGATACCAAAATAAAGAAGTCTGGGTCCAAGTTCGAACATAAATCTGAACTAAGATAGTGTATGTTTGATAATTTCAGGAAGAAAAAGAAAAAAAAGAAAATTTCTGGAAATAATTTCAGGAAGAAAATACAGGAGTTTCTGAAAATCAAAAGAATCACAAAATTAAGCGATTTGAGGCGTGAAGATGATAAGAAAAAGTATTAGCTGTCTCAGTTATGAGTTGACAGTTAGAATAAACAGCACAGTGGGGAAGTGACTGGAACTGATAATTGCGGCTGTTATTACACATTTCAAAATCCTAAGCTAATAAATCTCGCAGCTGTTCAGCGACGATTTTTAGTTTAACACCTACTAAATGAGAAAGCGGGCAGATCTCAGTAAAGAACTTCTGGTTGTCGGACGGGTCTTGATCAAAATAGTATAAAGTTTCCCCTACACTTGGTTTCAGTTACTTTTCATTACGATCCTTTTCTCAACTGTCATGGAAATTCTTTAATGGTCTCGAAAAACCGTAGAAGTTGATAGAGGATCATATACGAGCCCAAATGATGAATGGTTGGATTTAGCTAACAACTCGGAGGAAGTTCACTAATACGTAGATCTGATAAATCTATTCATTGACACCTGGATATTTACGGATTGAAGGGATTGTTGAATAGCATGGATCTGTTCACTGTTCCAAATGAAATTTCATTGTTCCCAAATGAAATTTCAACTTCATTATAATGGTCCTATAATGTCCCTGCTGATCTTAGCTCATTTAATTCGCTTTCGAATTGCTGTTGCTTCGACGTTTTACAAATGTTGCTTGTAAATCAAATTTGGATTTCTTTGAATATCTATTTTGATTCATTCATTGTTAAAATTCATTCATTATTGCTAAAATAAAGAAGTCTGGGTCCAATTTCGAAAACAAATCTGAATTAAGATGATGCATAGTTGATAATTTCAGGAAAAAGATAAAGGAAGTTTTGAGAAGAAGAGAAAAAAAAATGCGTCAATCACTTGAATTAATCTGTGCTATTTTAGATGAGGCGAGCAGTTTACATCTGGTAAAGTATAAGACGGCAAATCGAACTTGCGACCTTGAACTACCTTCGAAATTACTAGCGTAAGCAGTACTTGACTAAGCTAGGTAGTTTAACGTGAAATATTTTTTTTTGTAAAAAAACTCCAGTTCTTTTCACGCAAAAAATTATTGCTTTTACATAACGCAGAAGTATATTTTTGACTGACTCCACTCCAAGTACCTTCGTAGAATCAAATTAATAAAATAAAAAAAGAAAAAAAGCAAAAGACAGATTCCAAAGTAAGCACCTAGGCTGCACAACTAAGACTGTCACTTGTTCTCTCCCTTGCTTATACAAACAGATGAGCGCCCGTTATGCACGAAACATCCGTCTGCACGCACGCACACACACACTACAGCAACAATCATCCAAACCAATCGATGTCATTTCAAACATCCCTCAAACTTTACTGCTTGTTTCAAGTTGTCTTGTT